TCTCTCTCTCTCTCTCTCTCTCTCTCTCTCTCTCTCTCTCTCTCTCTCTCTCTCTCTCTCTCTCTCTCTCTCTCTCTCTCTCACTCACTCACTCATCTGCGTGCGTGACACGGCCAGGAGGGTCTCGCCCTGCAGGACCGATGCGCTCGACAGTGGGGCCCTACAAAAATGGTGGAGATGTCGGGCATCGGGGTTAAATTAACCCTTACCTACCCGAAGGGGTTGCCTAACGCATGGCCGTGTAAATAACCGAAGAGAAGGAACTAGGGACTTGTGCTTGTCCTCCCTTTGAGAGAACCACATTTGAGGGTGGCTAGGTGCATGGCATGGCCAGGCCTGGAGGAATAACATGCTTGATTACATGGGTGCTTGATTGATCAGCTTGCTCCTTATTAAACCACCACTACCCCATTACCCCCGCCGGCCTAAAATGGACTTTCCTGGCCTTACGGACCGGGTTCTTAGGGGCGGCGACGACCGGCAGGCGCAGGCAGGTCCGGTCCAGGAATTTTCAAGCACGAACTTTGGTGATTTCTTGCGTTCAGACATTGAAGTAAATGTCATGCCGTTTCGTCCCTTTTTTCATATGGGCCAACGGTTACCTGGCAGGCAATCGGTGTTCCGATTTCGACTGGGCCCGATAAAAATCCCCGGCTTCGACCAGGCCCAATAAAAATCCCACGGGCGCAGTGGTCCAACCGGGCGGGTAATTTTGATGTACCCAAGTTAAAAGGGACGCACTGCATTATCACCTTAAAATTGCCTGAAGGAACCCATATGAACACAATGATGATCTAAAATGAACAATCCTAACGGACAAACAAAGGAAGAACGAGGAAACAAAGGGAGTTGCTAGACTCCAGGGAGAACTAGCTCGCCTTTGAAGATGCTCACGAGAATGAAGTCGACACTGTGTACGAAAGGGTAAGGGGAATGGCACACACTATTCCGAGAGAAGATTTTGAGGCATGGGGTAGGATGCGCCGGAACATGTGAGAATGGGGAGTGACTATACGTGGATTGTAGCGGGCACCTATTGGTCCCGCCATGTTGGCTGCTTGGAACCTTGGGTATTTGTAGGAGCCCATGGCACCGTGGGTGCGACAGAGGACACAACGCTCTAGCTATGTTCTATAATCAGGGACGCGCCTCCCCTAAGATTCTAGTATCAACTCGCACTTGCCCCCGACGTACCCGTGTGTGCTTGATTATGGGTTTAGGATTGGGACCTAAGCAGTGGAAGAGGGGGTACCCACCTTCAGAGTCGATGACTAGGGGGTCTGCGACACTGGGCAACAACACTTAGCAAGCGGAGTTCGAATGGGCCGTGCCTTTTGTGGATGTGACAGGGACCGAAGCTGCTATGGTTTGGGCTACTATTGGCAATGTACGGGTGGGTAACGCGCCCAGTCCACTGGTGGGAGCCTAACTAGTGGGGGCGGAGGAAACCCGGCATCTAGGGAAGGGAGTGGTATGTCTTAGCTTCCAGCTAGGAGGCGGATGCACCAATGACAAGGAACGTTTAGCGTCGGAACGAAATGGGGGGCCTCTGGTGAGCCATTTGCGAAAGGTCTTCCCTACGAACGGGCAAAATCGTTGAGGAGGAGATGCTCGACATAGCGTGATTGTGTTTTGCCTGGATGTGCTTGAAATTTCTTATGTTGTAATCTCCCCATGTATGATTGGTCTGTGGAATAATTCGGAAGGGGCTATGTTCTAAGTTTATTCCTCCCCCGCTCTAGTTCACACGAGCGAGAGAAAATTGTGGAAAGAGATAAAGGTCAGGCTGAAAGGAAACCAAAAAAGGAATGTGGGAAAGGGGGCCCGACTAAGGATGTCGAGAAGGTTTATTCTAAAAAGGGGGGGCGGGGGGACTTGAGCAAGACCTTGATGGGGGGTCTAAAAAACTCTCATCCATGCTATAGACTGACCGGAAATAAGGGGGGGGGGAACGATGACTCATTTTGTGGAAATAGGGGTCGGGTGCTGGAACCAAGATGGTGCAATGGCAGTCGCCTCCAATCTATTCCAGTGGACCGAAAATGCAAGTAGATGTAAAGGAAGGGGTATCGGTTGCCCTTCCAGTAAAAGGAACTTGGACGGATTCAGAGCCAGCCTACCGAACCATAATGATGGACGAGAGAGGTGCATTCCTTTGGGTAGAGACCATGTGGAGCAAGGTCAACATAACAAGACTGTCACCAAGTTTGACTGATCTCGAATTTCGAGGGACGCTGGATGCCTAGGGATGGATTTACCTGTCTCAGGAAGGAGAAAATGCTATGGTTGTGGATTTGGGCTTAGGGATTGTCCCGAACTGTTCGGGCGGGCCAGTGGCGTTGGCTGCTGGCCAGTGGCGCTTCGCCCTTCACTAACCATTTTGGCTGCTGGCCAGTGGTGCTTCGCCCTTCACTAACCATTTTGTGTTTTTCCAATTTCGTGCTTTGCGCAATGCCCAGTAGAAGAGGGCAATTCATAGATAGCATCCACAATCATTTCAATGACTTGGCTAATGATGTATCTTTCTTCCAAACTCAGCGCTGACCACTGTTGAGTTTTCATAAGTTGAATGATTTTGTCTGAAATGCACTTGGATGGGGTAGACGTCCGGATGGAGTTTGGGGATAACAACAATGTGAGGCGGCAATATAGAACAATGCGGTCTATCCTGCTCCCAGTTGTTGTGGATGTTGTTTTTGGGACCCGGAGTAGGTTAGTCCGGATACGCTCGTCCATGATAAACATTCAGTTGTATTAATGCGCTAGACACGACTTCTATCAACTATCTGTACAAAGTTGCCTTGGCATAGACTACGTTTATGTCCCATACGCTACTCATTGGAAAACAGTCTACATAAATGTAGCGGTAGGACAGAAGGAGTAGCAAAACTATTCACGGGGGGAGGAAGACGAAGATGATGAAATGGAGAACTGGAATTTTGAAGGGCACATCTAAGGGGTTGAAGGTGTTGTCGGCGTTGTGCAGGAAGGGGAAATAGCTAGAGAACAACGCTTGTATGACCGGTTGTTCGGGGGGAAAATGCCAAGGCAGCTCAAGGGGGGTGTTGAAATATCCGTACCAGTAGACAATAAGTGGAGAGGAAGGTTCGTGACTGGGTCGTGTTGGGAATTGCTTTAGAACTCTCGTATCTATGGGTAGAACTACAATGGGATCCAGTGAGGGAAGAGGATGGATGGGAAGAGGAAGCAAAAGGAAATGTGCGGGCCATTGGGACAGTTTGCCTTTCACGGAAAGGTTGGCATCTGCTTTGTACATTATTGGCATCGAGGCAGGATCCGATGTGGCTCTTGGGAAACGATGAGCAATGGACTTGGGGTGAAGGGGAAAATTTCGCCAACGACGGATGGGACAAAGTCAGTAGTGGTGTCGTGATGGGAGGATGGGAGGAACTCAGACCGCCCTGTCAGCAAACATGGGCCTAGGTACCGCAGTTTGTGGCCGAATGGTTTGGGAGTTATGATAAGAATCCCTATAACAAGTGTGTATCTTAGTTGAGTGATGAGTTGCACACCGAGTCGAGGAAGTCCTCACTATTTTGCGGACAGTAATGGAAGATTGTATTGAGGTAGATCATGAGACAAGGAGAACCATAATATGTCGCGAGGTAGCAATGAACCCCTCATATTAAGATAATGTATTCTTACTATTCGAAGATCGATGGTTCAACCAACGGGGCTAGTCGTCGGATGTGCAAGACGGGGCGAGGATTATAGAGAGCTAACTGTATGTAAATTAGGACGTGCAACTGAAAGTGGGTGTACACTATAAGGGCTAAGCGTGCAATGCAAGAAGACTAAGACAAGATCGTGTAAATTCTTGTGGGTGCAAATACTGATCGCAGACAAAGAAGAGGGAGACGCCATGCGATGGCCCAGAGTCGAACGCTCTAGGAAGACGGACCTTTTCAG